GGAAAAAAGGCTGACATTAAGTCCTTCTCGGACTTCCAGTTTTTTTTCCACGTCAGAAAGGGAGGGACAAAGGAGACAACCTGCGGATGGTTTTATTTTATGAAATTATTTTAAACCCGAGTTTTATAATGGAAAACCTTCATGGCGATGCTACTTCATACAAAGCGTTTTACTTTGCAGTAGCTTAGTTTTCGATGCATGTTGCAAATGCCTTGAATGTTAGTAAATTCTCTACCTAATAAACTGTAAGTTAATTTTATGAAACCATGGGGTACACGGAATGAACGTCAGATGTGCAAGAAAGTTCGTCTCGCTTCTGTAGAAGGGATGACAAAAATATACAGGAAACTGGACTGGTGGTTTTGAGTTTTCTATCATCATTGCCTAATTACTCCTTACTCCCAGACCCGCATAGGCCTCGGACTAGGCTCTAGTCTCATCAGATATTGAGCATTAAGTCAACCATCAAATCACCTCAGTTTGCCAATGATCCCGATATAATAGTCTAGACGATTCTTTTACGTTTCCAAAATGTCAGCATGTCATGTCATTTGACAAGATAACATAGTCACTTATTGCAGAGTAAACTCATCGAAGATGGAAGGGCTTTAAGGCGCACAATTTCTTTTATTTGTAACGAGATTTCAGGCACCACAATCGAGGGTCACATTTGTACTCAAATTATATTCTTTGAAGTTAACTTTCCATCTAAAAATTCGGTGTGTAAATATGTGTTACTTCCGTCTGGTAATACTCTGCAGACCACAATACTCCTAAATATAGCCAAGTAATCCCAATGCACTGTAAGCAACCTCCTTTCCAAAGAAACAAAAATAAGGACAATCTGATATAAAAAAGTTCGATAAAAAGGCTCAAGGCAGTTGGGGCTTTTGACCGCAAGAATCAGATCCAAGAATGTACTTCTTATTTATCTAGATGGAATGAATAAAATCCCTCTGCGTAGAAGCACGCACGGCAATTTACTAATTTAATCACATCGATTGTGTGTCAATTTTTTGTATAATGTCAGCAAATTCAGATGACACATGTCCTTTAACTATTGTGTAAATTTTCGAAACGATTTTGCATTAGCTCCTATATGTGCTGTGAAGTTGCGCCCAAACGTTTTTCTTACTCATTATGGTAAAGAAAACAGGCTAGTATAAATTAAGTGGATTTTTCAAATGGCGGAAGTATGCTCATTGGATTTAATCTTGTTCACGGAAAAAATATATAAAGTAAGCTAATTATTATAGTAATAATATATTCTCCTTAATGGGCTTCCCTTGAAAGACTCAAGCCGGATTCTTACGCTAGAAAACAAACACAGTTATATGCCATTATATTCGAGCCAAATCTTCTGAGCAAAGCCAAAGTAAATCAGCCTTTGAGTTGCCTGACAAAAGTGAGTGAAACCGTTGATGTTTTCACAATGCAAGTAGGAAAATGTAAAACTGTTAGCAAGCACGAAACAATAATGGAGTTTTCTGCTGTGATTTCACATATCCCTATTTAGATAATTCATATTCTCTCAAACAACTTATGTCCAGTACGAACGAAATCTATATTCGACTCTATGTGTGCATTTGAATTTTTGAATTTTAAGGTAAAACAAATGTTTTTGACAATTTGCCCCAAACATTCACTAAAGTTGAAAGTACAAACGTACCCACAACTTGTCTCCAGCATCGATCCCTCGGGCTGAAGTGAAGCCATTCCGAAATCAGCAACTCGAATATTGAGTTTGCCGTCAAGTAAAAGGTTTTCTGGTTTAAGGTCACGGTGGCTAAAAATAATTTATAATCCGAGATTATTTATGTGTTTTTTTCCACAAAATGAAATCTGCTTGAAAAACACTTAGGTAGCGTGGAGATCTTATCTGTGTTGGAGCTTATTTTTGAAAATATGTAAAGTTTATAATCATTTACCCCAATCGTATTACTGAAATGCGATCCAAATATTTTCAGTACTCAAAAGAATAAAGATAATTTTCTGTGGTATCACACGATATGTTGCAAGAAGTTTTGCAAAACCTAATATGTAAAAGTTTGGTTGTCGTACGAGACGGTTAAGTGCTTAAAATTATGGCTAGTAAAGTAATGAAACGTTGTGATGTTACAAGGTGTCTTTGGAACATGCGAAGACTGGATCGGCATGACTAAAATTCTGTCTGTACCCATAATATTTGTTTTTTACGATTAATCATCCCCCATCAACTGTCAATGATTGCGCAAGCTAGTTTTGCAAACGTGGAGCTAGCACGTCCGATAAAACTTCGGTACTTCGTTTATATTTATAAAAATTACAAGCATTTGTTGTTAACTGCGTTTAGTTGGAATAGCTTGCATAGCTCAGATAGCCTGTAAGTCACCTAACTTACTTAATGCAACTGCTCTATGCGGTTAATATGCAACGAATAGAACGCTGTATCTGTGGGGCCGTTCACTTTTACCCCCGATTTAGTTTAAAATGTACTAAATAAGAACTAATTGACAGGAAAATTCCTACTTTTTTCATATGAGCTAATTTTAAACGACTCTGCAACCTTCTTATTGCACGTAACGCATATTACGCATAATAGTTCCCTACTACTAAATTTCTATCGTAAGATATGTTACGCTTACTAGTCGACATTCACATTTAGACCCTGTTATTATCAATATATTATGCATACTTACAAAATGTCTGTTTGACAGTCACAGTTACAGTGTTAATCATAACTCAATCAGCAACTCGGTGAGCACATTTAAATGTGAACGGTCGCATAATAGGGGTCATAAATTGGCCTCGGGCCATTTCGACGAAATATAATTGTTATTTTTAATTGACTGCTGTTTCACCGAGAAAAATAAATCAACACGGAAGATTCTTCTCTTGGTATGTTTGTAAAAAAAATGGCTGTTAAGCGTTGTGAACTAAAGTACTGAATCAGTAGTCACATATGCAGCCCTGCCATCACAGGCGACGGGTGTAATACGTGGGGATTCCATACAAATACAGGGAATCTCGGGAGGATGAATTTTGTTCGATGATTTTATTTACAGTACACATTTTGCTAAATCTACTTTTTATCAACAAATTATCAATAACCTTGTCCTTTGACAAACCAACCCATTTGGATGCTTACGAATAAGAAAAAGGTGGCGTCCCGCTGAACAAACTCTTTGCAGTTGCCGGGGCCGGGTTGAAATCCCCGTCCTCAAGTCCTCAACGGGGATTTCAAAACGTCCCCGCCCACCGGAAAAAGGTTTGCGCAGCCTCCAAATTGATTGGAATTCCCTTGTATTCCCCCGTCGCCTGTGCTGGCAGGGAGGCCTGAGCATCATTTTAGTAACATAAAGTGCCGGTTCGTAAAGGCAAAACGTATATCATAATGATTTTGCGGAAAATCTTATTAAATGCCAAATTCTAGTATTTTATAACGCTTTTTCAAGAACCTTTTTGTGAGATTTAAGCACAAATTTTATACTGCATTCAATTTAACCAGACCTGCTCAGGCCTCTCAGATAAAAATCACTTACCAAATACAGTGACTGTGACAAAAGTCGATGGCAGATATGATTTGTTTGAAGAAGCGTCTTGCTTCCTTGACGGAGAGTCGTCCTTTTTTAACAAGGTAATCGAAGAGCTCGCCGCCTGACACGTGTTCCAGAATTAAAAATCTACAGTTTCATATCGTGGAATCAAAACTTACAAGTAGCGTCTATTTTCGTAAACGTCATACAAGCCAAGAACGTGTGGATGCTCAATAAGCTTCATAATTGCTATTTCGCGCTCAACCTTCAAAAAATATTTATAGAAAGTGCGCATACCTTTTGGAGCACGCTGTCACTTAATTTTTCCCGGTTGACGATTTTCACCGCAACTCGTCTACCGGTAATGCAATGGACGCCCATTTTTACAAGACCTTTCGAGAAAATCCGATCAACACACAATTAATATGTTATTACCTGTTTGGCCCTTCCCAAGAGTTTTTTCTAATCTAAATGGGCCAACGTACTGATCTTCACGTGCTTGCCCATGTCGGGACATTCCGGTCAAGGAACCCTTTCTTTTCTGGAATTAAACACAAATTTTCTTTGATTTTGGTAACGCCCACTTCATC